GGGGGGTTCTTGGGGGGCCTGGGAGTGCTGTGTGGGGGTCTTGGGGACTGTGGGGGGTCGATATGTGTAAGGGGGACCCGAGGTGCTCAGGGAGGCTGGGGGGAGTGGGGCCTCCAGAGGGATCTTGTGGATGGCAGGGCTGGGGCTGACACCCACTATGCCCTACAGACTGACTGCTTCAACTACGTGAGGCTGGTGCAGCCGCTCAATGCCTCGCACCTCTACGCCTGTGGCACTGGTGCCTTTCAGCCCAAGTGCGCCTACATCGTGAGTGTGTCCCATTTCTTCCCCCCACCACCCCCACTCCCACTGCTAGCCTGCTGCCTGGGGAAACAAGCACCCAGACATCCGTCATGGGGCCTGGCCAGTCCCATGGCCTTGGCCCAGCTGGCTCCTGCCTCCCGGTGGTACCCCCAACTTGTGCCAAGAATCGTGCTTCTGATCCTGGGCCCTTGTGTGATGTGGCCTCCCGGGTGCCTTCCAGGACCGCGCCACCTTCTCCCTGGACCCGCAGGCTTTTGAGGACGGGAAGGGCAAGTGCCCCTACGACCCTACCAAGGGGCACACCGGCCTTGTTGTGGGTAGGTGGAGCGGGGGTTGGAGGGTGGAACGAGGGGGGCAGAATAGGGGCTGGAGGATTCAGGGAGGGCTGGGCCAAGTTGTGGGGCTGGAGGAGCAGGATAGGGGGTGAGGGGCCAGGGGCACCAGTCTGGTGCTGGGTGGGGGTAGGATAGAGGCTGGGAGCACAGGATAGTGGTGCCCACCCTACCCCCGTTAACCCATTGCTGCCTGGTGGTAGATGGAGAGCTGTATTCGGCCACACTTAACAACTTCCTGGGCACGGAGCCTGTGATCCAGCGCAACTTGGGCCCCCGCTACTCCATGAAGACTGAGTTTCTGCCCTCCTGGCTCAATGGTGAGGAAGGCTGTGCCTGGGTTGGGCAAGAGGGTGCCAGGAAGGTCCAGCCTGGCCTGATGTGTGTCTCTCCCCCTCCCCCCTCCAGAGCCACACTTTGTGGGTTCAGCCTTCGTGCCTGAGAGTGAGGGCAGTGCCAGCGGGGACGACGACAAGGTGTACTTCTTCTTCAGTGAGCGTGCTGTAGAGTATGACTGTGACACCCCCCACGTCGTGGCCCGTGTGGCCCGTGTTTGCAAGGTGTGCCTGGGGCAGTGTGGGTGATAGCAATGCTGGGGCATTGTAGTTAATGGAAGCACTGGGGCCTTGTGGGTAGCTGCTGTTTTGCTACGGGCATTGTGAGCAATAGCTGGAGTGCCATGGGCATCATGGCTTAAAGCTGTTTTGCTGGGAGCATTGTGGGTAAGTGTAGTGTGCATTGTGGGTAATGGCTGACGTGTCAGAAGCATTGTAGGAATGCCCCCTTTGGGACATGGGTAATGGGGGTGCAGACCAGGTGGGTACACCAGGACAGCTGCACCCCACAAGGAGGCATCCCTGGTGCATTGAGGGATTCCCTGACATGCTGTCCAGCCCCGCATCTGTAACATGTACTTGTGGGCTTTCTTTGTGCTGGAGCAGTGCATTGTGGGATGGTGCTTGGAGGCCTAGCTGCCCCAGGCAAGGTTGGGGGAGGCGTGCCCAGCCCTGATGTTGCCTATGCCGTGCCTGTGGCAGGGGGACATAGGCGGTGCGCGGACGCTGCAGAAGAAATGGACGTCGTTTTTGAAGGCACGGCTGATGTGCGCCCTGCCCGAGCAGCAGCTCCACTTTGACCGCCTGCAGGCGCTGGCCACGCTGCCCAGCCCCGCCTGGTCCCACACCGCCTTCTTTGGCCTCTTCCATGCCCGCTGGTGAGGCCTGGCCTGGCATGGGGAGCAGCATCAGGAATGGGAGGGGCATTATTGGAGGCAGGAGGTATTGGGGTGTTACTGAGGGTAGGGGGTATTGTGGGGGGTAGAATCGGGTGCAGGGGTTGAGAATTGGTGGCATTGTAGGGGGTGTTAGGGGGTATTACCAGGGGAAGGAGGGTATCAGGGGGTCTTAGGGGCAGGGGTTGGTGCCACTGGGGGCAGGGGGTGTCAGGAGCTTCCCCTGGAGCAGGGGATAAGGGCTGGGGGTGGTGTTATCCAAGCAGATATACCAGGGCAGGTGTATTGGGAGATGTTACTGGGCAGTTTGGGTGTGAGGGGCACTATTAGACCCAGGCTCCAAGGGGGCATTAAGGGGTCTTGGGGTGGGGGGAGGGGGGCATTATCAGAGCCCCCCCATTGCCCATGTGCTGCCCACAGGGGGGATGTTGTGGTGTCGGCCGTGTGCCAGTATGACCTGAAGACAGTGCAGCAGGTGTTTGATGGGCCCTACAAGGAGTATCAGGAGCAGGCCCAGAAGTGGGGGCGCTACTCGGACCCAGTGCCCAGCCCCCGGCCTGGCGCGGTAAGTGGCAGCAGGCAGCAACCCTGCCCTAGCACAGGGGGGGCGGCTGGGGGAGG